TTTTAATATTTTTTTTTTTTTTTTTTTTACAAACAGTTGTTTTTTCTTTTTTCTTTTTTTCTCTCTGGTTTTTTTTCTCTATTCAGAGAGAAAACAAACCAAGGGCTGATCACTGTGATAGCCAATTAGAGGTTATCACAGTGATCATGTGACCTGGAATTGGGATTCCCGATCGTTCGAATGGGACCTGAGGCTCTCAGTGACACCGTGGTCTTTATGCTGGGATCACGTTGTGCGGCGCACTCAGAGCACAAAGACAGGTACGCAAATAGGTGGCTCCACAGAAAAAAGCCCAGTTCTGTGAGGCTGCATATTTGTGTGACGTCAGCGTCAAGGGGTTAATGCAGAGAATGCATTAAGGTAGGAAACCTTTTCCCTTTAGAGCCATATTAAAGTGCGCCTTGATAGCTAAATACATTTTCATTATAAAAAAAAAACAAAACAAAAAAAAAAGCATAAATTCTGCATGCTTTTTAGCTGCACAAATTATTACGGGGACCCTGAGTTGTCTCACTTCCATCTTAACCACTTCCCGACCGGCCGTTGCATATAAATGGCTGGACGGTGGCACTGCAGGGTCGGGTGGCCGTTTCTAAACGACCTCCCCGCACCCTGCTTGTGCGCGCTCCCTGGGTGCGCGTAGCACCGCGATCCAGTGCTCGCTGTGTCCTCCAGACACAGTGAAACACCGATCATCGGACGGGACCTCTGTACGAGGTCCCGATCATGTGATCACTGATTGGCCAATCAGTGATCACATGCAAAGTAGTAAGCAAGATGTCACTTGTGACATCATTGCTTACTACGTGTGAAATCTGTGAATGATCACAGAGGTCACATGGTATAAGGCTATTCACAACAGCCTTGTACCATGTGACAAGCTGTGACCAATCACAGCTCACTCAGTACTTCTCAATGAGTGCAAGAATGCAGACAGAGAGGAGAAATGATTGATTTTACATCCTATATGGGTGTAAAAGCAATCAGTGTAAAAAAAAAAAAAAATCATCATCACCCCCCACAAGTAGTACAGTGTCACCATGGTGAAACTGTACTGCTAGGGTGACAGTATGTAAAAAAATAAATAAAAAATAATATAAACAAAAATAAAAATGTAAAAAAAAATGTTTAAAAATTATAATTTTTGGTTATAAACTAATTTGGATTTTTTTTTTTTTTAATTTTTTTAAATTTTGGCCAATATTTATGATGAAATATTATTTATTTGCAAAATGTTATAAAAAAACACTTTTTTTCAAAATTTTTGGACTTTTTCATTTACATAGGAAAAAAAATAAAAATCCCAGCGGTGAATAAATACCACCAAAATAAAGCTTTATCTGTCTCAAAAAAATGGTAAAAAATTCATATGGGTACAGTGTTCCATGACTGCGCAATTGTCATTCAAAGTGTGATAGCGCTGAAAGGCTGAAAATTGCCCTGGTCAGGAAGGGGGTAAAAGTGTCCGGTCTGGAAGTGGTTAAAGAGGTTCTAAAGTCAAACCATTTTTTTTTTACCTTAATTCATTCCTTGCATTAAGGTAAAAAAAAGTCCCACTTCTTCTTCCTACCCCATTCACCCCCCACCCCATATATTACATTAGTCTTCACTCGATCCAGCGCTGTGCCCATCTGCAGCAGTGGTCTCTGTCCCTGCTCCCACAATACAGACTGAAAGCAGGGGGAGCCATTGGCTCCTGCTACTGTCAGTCAAATCCTGTAAAGAGGGAGCAGGGGGTTGGGCCGAGACGTGTTGTATGTGTCTATGAATGCACACGGGTGTCCCATAGCACATGACTTACTATGGGGCACCCAGAGAAGAGGAAAGCGCTGCCAGTGGACTGCCAAAGAAGAGATAGGGGATTGCTCTATGCAATATCGTAGCTACATTGAGCTCAAAAGAAAAGGTTTGTTTGACACATGAATAGGAGAGGAGAGCAGATTACACAGACTGGAATAAGAAGGGAGATCAGATTATGCATACTACTGAATGATTCAAAAGAGGCACGCGCTATCCTCTTTTCTTTTACCTAGCAGTGATGGCAGTGTTTTAGACCGTTACACATGATCTGCCAGCCTGCAAGTAGCCTCTGGTTCATGTTAACTGTCTCTGCAATCTAAGGGTCATGAATGTACCCTATATTAACCCCTTTCCATCTGCACCCTGTAGATTAATGGTCCCTTGCACAATTCCCCACAGATTGAGAACATTAATTTGCGTTCCTACTTTGATAGCTATCAGCCAACACTGTGCGCAGCTGCTAGATGTCGGACCAGAATGGCGATTGACAGCTTTGGTCCCCACTAAAGAACCAATTAGACTGGTTTCTGATCATGTGATCACAATCTTTGACCTGCTGATTACATATAGGCTGAAGATTACCTTACAAAAAATGAGCCTTAAGCACTCAGATGCCACTGCAGTCTGGGGGTGGCAGTGTGCCACTGTTTCATACAGTAATTGTTAAATACAATTACATTATTCAAAATGTAAGAAATTAATTTTTTTGTGTGCTATAGTTACATGATATAACCCTTTGCCGTCAGCAATATGTATACTTACATTCCCTTGCATGATTCCCTATGCAGTCAGATCAATAGTCTACATTTCCTACTTAGGCATCTATCAGCCCACACTGTGCACAGCTACTAGATTTCACACCAGAACAGCCAATGACTTTGGTCCACCAATAATAATTAAGAACCAATGAGTGTGGTTTAACATGTGATCAATATGTTATCTATGACCAAGTGATCACACACAGACTGGAGGTTCATTTACAGAAAATGAGCCCTCAGCTTGCAGATACAACTGTAATCTGAGTGTTCCATTGTTTAATATTCAGGAGTTAGACAAAAAAATGGAAACACTACATGATTTGCAGGTATGAAAGTGATGACATGTGTTGAAAGCAGAAGTGATACAACATTCTTTTGTGTCCGCTGTGTGATGAGACACCTAGCTTACAGGTGGCTAGCCTCAGTTTTCTCATTCACTGCGTGCGCTGCTACTGAATGTGGAGTCATATCAGAACTTACTGAGCTTCAAAGAGGGCCAAATTGTTGGTGCTCATTTAGCTGGTGCTTCTGTGACTGAAGTTGCCAATTTATTTACCGTGTTGTGCTGTACAGTATCAAAGGTTATGACGGTATATACAGTTTCTGAGAGAATCTCGTTTGACAAGCATGGTCAACTGACCAAAAGAGACAAAAAAACATTGTGCAGGATGGTGACCCAGAGAACAAAAACAACTGCTGCAAAAGTGACTGCAGAGCTCAATCTCAGTTCCGGACATGCAGGCAGGAGCAGGTGCATGGATCCAGAGGCAGAGTTTGTAAACAAACCGCAAGACAAGATGGCATTTTTTTTACTGTGTTTTAGACATTTAATTCTAGGCTCCAACAGATTTTTTACAAAAAAAAGTGTCACAAACCAATATCAGAGTTCCACTCTATTTTCCCCATAAACTTGTCTTCTAATGACTACATAATAGGTCTGAGAGTGAAGTGCCACAGCACAGATTATTGTTCCAGATATAAATTTTATTCCATTGTAAGATCAATGGAAAGATGCATTTCAGGGTCCAGAACGCACTCTGTTCATCAGGTCTAGCCCTGATGAAAGGTGTGACTTTTGGACCACAAAATGTGTTGGCTCTTGCCTGTAGTCTTTTACTTGATCTTACATTGGAATAAACTTCTTCCTGGACCAATAGCCTGTTTTGTGGCTAGTCCTGATGACGAGGGTGAACTCTGGACCCCGAACCCATTGGAATGTTCTATAGTCTTCTACTTGATCTTACCTTGAAATATATTTATATCTGGGCCAATCACTTCTGTGGCTGGGTTCTGGACTACAATATGTGTGGGCTCCTGGGCTCTTTCCTATCGTCTTCTACTTGACCTTACATTGGAATAAATTTACATTTGGACCAATAACCTGTGGTGTGGCTAGCCCTGGTGAAGAGGATGAGTCCTGGCCCCCAAAATGCATTGAATCTTTACTCTAGTCCTCTATTTGACCTTACAGGAAATAAATTTATATCTGGACTATTAACCTGTGGTGTGGCACTTCATTCTCTGATCTGTTGCATTGCATTGCAAACCACGGAAACTGTGGAGATCCTCTGGTGTGCAGAAGCCGCCAAGAATCCAGACATCCTGTTCAAACACCACCACCGCATCACTGGATAGTAACACCAGTTGGAAAATTCTATGGTTCCAATGCTACCCATCCATTCCTCCAAGTGTCTAGTTCTATTGGCCTACATAGCACATTGTTGTGTCAGCATTCGTCAACTCCTGGCTGAGCAGTCGCACATGCCTTGGCACAAGCACTGGCAGAAGCCGTAGACCAGGCATACAGTCAGGCTGGAGGGTACCAGGCTTACACAGACAATTCCAAGTGTCACCTTCTGAATAACTAGCAAATATATTCCAAGGGGCAAAGAGCCGAAGTAAAAGAAGCCCAGCAGCCAGACCAGTATCCTGGGGACATGGTTGCACAACTTGGAAAAAAGGTCGTGGTCGATTTGGCCATGGGAACTCACGGAAGCCGAGTCCATGCTGTGCTCTGCGTAGTAGTCCGAGATGGTGTTTTGACTGGGCGTCCGTTGTGGAGTCTCTTTGTACCTCCATGATGGTGATCACTAGGCAGTTCGAAGAGCCGTGGGAAGGGCTAGAAGACGCCAGGTTCTTAGGGGTTAGGACCACCTCATTGCTGTCTGAATTGCAGATGGTCCGCTCGGCGAGCTTAGACAAGATATTGGTGTCATCCGGGAGACCCGCCACCTCTTCTTCCTGAAGTTCAGTCTCATTGCGGCAAAACGGGCAGCTGATGCATGGCGCCCCTCCGCCTATGAGGAGGATTTTGGATAGGCATCTGGCACAGACACGGTGAAGGCAGTTTAGGATCTTGGGTTTGCGGCTGTGAGTGTTGAACTTTTGGTAGCATATCTTACATTCCAGCTCATCTGATGATAGCGTCTCCTCTGCGTTCATCTTTTATCTCTGTGTAGCTAAAAAAAAAAAAAAAAAAAAAGCGATCATGTTGAATTTGCATTTTTAGATCTCACTAAAAGTGAGTATATTTTATAAAGCAGTGAATCTGGCATTCAGCAAACATTATTGACAAAATTGGCAGAGCTCAGATATAAAAAATATATCAAATAATTAATAACGTATAATAATCAAATAAATTCTAGTGTATCAATAATATATCTATACCGAAGTCCATAAAAAGTGACATTTTTTAATGTCTTTTAGAACTGTGCAAATAGGGGAATTAGTAAATGTGATGAGTCCTTTCTTTATCTTTTAGATTGTAAGCTCCAAGGAGCAGGGTCCCCCTAACCTTCTTGTATTGAACTGTATTGTTGCTGTATTGTCTCCCTTTATATTGTAAAGTGCTGAGCAAACTGTTGGCACCATAAATCCTGTATAATAATAATAATAATATATAAATCCTGTATAATAATAATATATAAAAAATCCTGTATAATAATAATATATAAATCCTGTATAATAATAATATATAAATCCTGTATAATAATATATAAATCCTGTATAATAATAATAATAATAATAATAATAAAAAATAAATCCTGTATAAATAATAATATATAAATCCTGTATAATAATATGTAAATCCTGTATAATAATAATATATTAATCCTATATAATAATAATAATGTCTTGTTTTAAAAGTCCCAAGTGCCACAAAGGTGCCACACAAATCAGTGTTAACACACAAGTGCTCCAGTACTTTCACCCCAGTGGATTTAATGGGGTTAATTTACTAAAGGCAAATAGACTGTGCACTTTGCAAGTGCCGTTGCTCCAGAGCTTCGTAAATGAGGGGAAGCTCTGCTAATTTTCATCCTCCAATCATATGCAAGCAAAAATGCTATTTTTAAAATCTTCTTTGCATGTGATTGGGTATTTTTTGCAAACCGAAGCTTTATCTCATTTATTATGGCCAAAACGTTTTTTTCATTTTGAACAGAGCAAGGTCGGGTTAGTTTTTTTTTCCGCCATCTGTGTCCCATTTTAGAGATTTCCTTTCACTTCCTATCCCATAGCCAAACAGGAAGTGAGAGGAAATCCCTGTAAATTAAGGAAATTCATTGGGGACCCCCAGGTCTCCAGAACTAGTGTCCCCATTGGAAGATTTCTCCTGTATTACTTTTCTGGGGACAACCCAAAATTAGGGATTTTCTTTTACTTTCAATGATAATAGTAAATGGGACAAATAGAGAGGGTGAATCTCCCTAACAGAGACACAGACAGCAATAAAAACTGACAGGGGGCCTAATCCCTCTCCACTCAATCTGAAACTAAAAAAAAAAAAAAAAAGGTTTTGCCTTTTAGTTATGCTTAAGCTCTGCAGCAACTGCACTTGCAAAGTGCACAGTCTATATGCCTTTAGTAAATCAACCCCAATAACTCACCAGAGGGAAATGACCTTCTAACAAGAAAAGGTCATTCAGTGCGTAAGGTAAATCCTCTCAAGTTCTCTCAGGCCAGTAGAAGGAATTTCGTATCCAACTGCAATATTTCATCTCTTTCCTCCCCATTGAGTCAGGAACATATAAAACACACAAACCAGAAAGGGCTTCAATGCATACAAGAACAAAGAAAAAAAAAAATCAATAAGACAAATGCGCACTCACATCATATAGTGCCACGGATCCCGAACACATAGACAAATCACATAAATGAGCATTCAAAAAAAGTGATCCAGTAGCACATAAATATAAAAAGTGAAAAATTGTGAACATGAAAAGTATAGTCCAAAGACAGTCTGATAGCCAGTTCTTATCCACCAAGCGATTCTTCCAACTCTTCAAAATAAATCACCATGTGAAAGAAGAAAATTATGTTCCCCTATCGGGTATACACTCACCAGCAAATGTTGCCCCCCAATCTCATGGTTGGCTAAAATGGCTCAATAAATATCTCCCGCTGGGCTGACGGATCAGTCCGTGCCGATATGCTTCCTCTCCTCCAATCTTCATAATCTCCTATCCCCAAAAGGTTGACAATAATACATATAATACTGGGAATCCAATATGGCGGCACTTAGGGTAACAGAGGACCTCCCTGGCGGTATTCCCGAGTGTAGCTCGGGGTAAAGTTTCAGCACCACAAGCGGGAACCCCGAGCTACACTCGGGAATACACTGCAGCGTTGCTCCGGGATCTCTTCTTCACTTACCTTGTCCTGCGCTCCTGCGATGTCCCTCCTGCAGTGTCCCTGGCAATGTCCTCCGGCTGATGCCAGCATCTGTCTTCTGGGTTCCGTTCCCTGCGATGTCGGGACGTACGGGGGACGGAACGGCAGGAAATTTAAAAATGTGAAAAAATGACATTCACTAAATACACTAAAATCACATAGTATAACATTCCTGTATCCAACCATTTCACATACATTTTGTCCCGAGTGCTTTGTCCGGCGCCCTGCCTGCATTTTTACTGTTCTTTCTGCCTGGAAACTGAGAAACGTCCATGGCATCCAAAAAGCGTCCCTTTAGGTCAAAAGCGGTTTTAGACCGGCTAGAGAACAGCGATAGTAAATCAGAACCACTTGCAGAATTGAGTGATAATGATTCGTGGGGGAAATTTGTCATCAGACACTGAAAACGATTTTGCGACTTTGCTCAGTGATGTGCGAACTTGGCGCTATATTTCAAATTTCAGCGTTTTTGGTTTGATTATATTATTGAATTAAAAATTTATTATTATTATATTATTATTTTTTAGGATTATTTTTTAAATTATAATTTATGATTTCGTGTTTCAAGTTTTATCATCCCCCGGGATGTTTACTAGACTCTTGTTCGGACAGATTTCAGTGAGTTATTCCTGAAAATTACAGGCCTACAAGAAAAAAAAATACATATTTCCATGCACAAAAATACTGACATAATCAGACCGCTAGGGAGGCTACGGACAGTCAGAATCCTTATGGTATGTTCTCACTCCTTGTATAAAATAATTTTTGGTCTTAGGGTTCGGAACATAAAATGCTGCAAACCATCACTGAAGTACCTTAAACAGATCCTTTGACCCCAGCTTAGTCCTCTAGGGAGAGCGCCGACGCTCCACACTGCTCACCTTGGGGCTGGTGTGAGCAATGTGGAGACATGAACAGTGTTGTCATCCAAAATATCAAGTGCCTGAACAAGGACCTTTATGGCAGGATCAACAGGCATCGCTGTAATGAATGCTGGGCATTTCAAAATTTGGAAAACAGCTTTACGAGAGGACATATATGACATTTTAGCTACTTTCAGCTGGTTTTAGTGTCTAAGGTGCCTTTCAGCCTTTAACATACCCCAGTTGTGTTTTCTTTTTTTCAATTCTTGACACTCTAAATCTATACCTCATATAGATAAAACTATAACGAGTTGACGAAATCTCATAGGATCTACTGTATGTCTTCTACTCTGAGCCAACAAATGCAGATGGATTCTTTATTCTGCAAAAGGCTGCAGCCCTCATGAAGACATAATGGCAGCAGGGCACTTGCGGCCTGTCACTCGCTATCTGCAAAACTGTCATAATAATGACACGCCGGCTGCTGTGACGTCCCGAGCTCCACTGTGCGGTTTACCCTTCTGAATAATGCATGGACTGCATGATGGGAAGCCAAGGGTTGTGCTGAAGTCTATAGAATGCTATAGACTATAGAATGCTTACACTTCATTATTTACCATTCAGCCTGTCTGATCCCTCCACCATAGACTAGCAGATAAACACAGCAACAGGCTTGTATACATCGATCCAACACAACAAACACTTTTCTCCTGCGCTAGGAAAGGACTCAGTAGACCCAATAGGAATGTTCTGGAATTTTCTGGAATGTGCACTATTTGCTGCCCTCAACAGACTGAGGTGGTCCAAATACACTAGATGCAAATGGAGAAACAGAAAAAGGGAGCACCGACCTAGTGCATTATCATTTAAAATATTTATTGAAGAAACAAAGTAAGTATCATACTTACAATAGACCTAAAAACACAGGCATGTCATACTAAACAAGATGTATGATCCAAACAACATCTGAGTCCATACGATGGAACCCTGGATGACCACCTGGCTAACGCGTTTCGAGGACACAACCTCTTTCTCAGACTCGTATGGACTCAGATGTTGTTTGGATCATACATCTTGTTCAGTTTGAAATGCCTGTGCTTGTATACGTCGATCTCATTTTTTATTTATTTCCAGAGAATGGAATTACTCAATCCAAGGACAGCTAATGGAAAAATTCCTGCAAGTGACCCAAGATACCTGCTTTTACAGAAATGTTAATTAGAGGTGGGCAATGATGAATTATATATATAATTCCAAAGGTAGCCATGGCACTCTATGTTTGAGATAAATGCCCAGGTGCTCACGCACTAAGAAATCCATATAAATCCAAAACTGGTTCAGAGGCACTCATGGGTCTTGCAGAGGAGGAAGACCAAAAATAGCAGTGCCACTAGACCAGTTTTATATATATATATATATATTCTCACTGCTCAAAAAAATTAAAGGGACAATTTTTAATCAGAGTATAGCATCAAGTCAGTTGAACTCCTGGAATATTGATCTGGTCAGTTAAGTAGCAGAGGGAGTTGTTAATCAGTTTCAGCTGCTTTGGTGTTAATGGAATTAACAACAGGTGCTCTAGATGGGCAACAGTGAGACAACCCCCAAACCGCAATGGACTGCCATTTTTTTCCCTACTCATGTTTTCTGACTGTTTTTCACTAGTTTTGCATTTGGCTAGGGTCCGTGTCACTACTGGTAGCATGAGGCCATACCTGGACCCTACAGAGGTTGCACAGGCAGTCCAACTCCTCCAGGATGGCACATCAATATGTGCCATTGCCAGGTTTGCTGTCTCTTCCAGAACAGTCTCAAGAGCATGGAGGAGATTCCAGGAGACAGGCAGTTACTCTAGGAGAGCTGGACAGGGCCGTAAAAGGTCCTTAACCCATCAGCAGGACCGGT